TTACTTACTTACTTACTTACTTACTTACAAATCTGAAAGAGAAAAAATACTAAAATGAGAAAAAAACTGAAGCTAAAAGCTAAAATTGACTAAATCTTAGGTAAAACCATAAAAATAACAAAAAAACTGAAAATAATTACCTACAATTAGCTATAACTAGATGCTAAAATAAGCCAAACCATGTGGGGAAAATAAACTAAAATTAGCAAAATCGTAGCTACAAGCTTAAAGTAGCTAAAAACCAAAAAGATTTAGACAAAAATAGAGCAGAGGCCATTTTAAAAAGAATGTTATTAAATGATTTGAAAAGATCRACACATTTCTATTTTTGTAAATAAATTTATACAGTTTGAAGTGTTGCTCTGTGGTGCGGGAGCTCAGCTGCAGGGAGGAGCTTCGTACATGTAGGCGGAGCTTTGTAGCAGCAAGCGTTTAGGCTGCTCCACATGGCTACCACAGGAGTTTTCTCAAACATGCATGACTCTAAATGTTTGAGGAAACGCTGATGAAAAACGTCACATACCACATTTAGTCAAGGTTCTCCACGAGTCCCAGATATGGCTGCTCTTTCCACACATCACAACGACCTCTTTAAAGAAAGCACAGGTGATGTTTGTGTCCTGCTCGAAGCTGTAGATGTTCTGCTGGCACRGCTGGATATACAGAGGAGCTTTGGACAACAGGCACTCCAGCGCCTCTGAAATGAACCGCTGGCACACCTGGAAACAGAACCAGAACCAGCTCCTAAAACACGCCCACAATCAGTGAAAACTACTGCAGTAAAAAGTACTTTGATGTGTTTTAAACAGCCGTCTTACTGGATTTGAGACTATGGCAACGTCTCGAGTTTGACACGTGTCCCCAAAAAGGACAAACTGTAAAATCAGCTGCTGGACGGTTCCTGGTCGAATTACAAAAAAATATATATATATATTTTCATACTCATTATTGCGTCCTGCTATGAAAGGCAGGTAAGAGTAGTAGAGTAAATGATCCCAAACAAAAAGTAATTTTCGATGTAGATTTATGAAACTGAACTTAAAGTTTATGGAACTGCGTCTGAAAAGTGAGTTTAGGGATTTTATTTTCCAGTTTTTAGGAACTTACGTGGTGGAGACAATGAGGCCAAGTCCAGTTTCCCACACAGTCCGGTCAAGTCGGGGCTGAGATCCTGCTCCAGCTCCACCTTCAGAATAAAAGCACAGAAACAAACATCAGACTTCATGTGAAAATAAGAGCTCCACTTTTCAGTTTAGTAGAAATTACGCCACAGTTTGTTCTTAAAATGAGCCAAATATAATTTCAGATGGATAATAAAGCCTGATGTAAGACATCTTGTTTTTTATTTGACAAAAATAAAGTACAAATGCAAAAGTTCTGTTCTGGATTAACCCTCCTGCTGCCCCTCGAGGCCCAACTTACATGTTAAACTTCATGATAGTATATTTGCAAAAAGTGTGAATTATTTAGGAGCCTCTTATTTATTACAAAAACATGTCATCCTGTTTTAACAAAATAAAAACAGCCAAGCATGGCAGTCGATAATCCAGGCTTGAGGTCTCATCTTTTTTTCATGATTTGATTTGATTTGATTGATTGATTTATTTAACAGGAAAAGATTATTAAAAATCTAGCCTGACTCGGCATAATTGCTGTTTTACAGCAGATTCCTGTTCTGCAGCACATAAAACACTCAGAAATACAGCATCACAATCACATCATTATACACCATAGACACAAAGACAAACAAGCATACCAAATTTCAGGAAGGCAGCATTTGCAAAATAAGACGTCTAAATATGAGCACAACAAAAAGTGTCCAGCAGATGGCAGACAAGATTCTTCTTAAAGGGCTGTAGTTTTGAAATGGACTTTATGTTTTGAGGAATGTCATTCCATGCTTTAGTATAAACATAGAAGAAAGACCTCTGGCCGTAACAGTTTTTAAAAGTTGGTAATATCAGTTGTCCTTTTGTAACAGATCTAGTTGAATGACCACTTCCAGAATTTGATTTGGGCAGCAATGCACAGAGAGTTCCATAATTGGCACCTTGGAAGATCTGAAAATATAAATTAATACCACTATACAAAACATAATTCTGAAAAGTCAAGGCATCAGACAATGAAAGAACTGTACAGTGATGAGTCCAACCAGGAAGTTTTTTATGAATTTTGTAGGCCCTGTTGTAGAGCCTAACTATGGGTTCTAAGATTTCATTTGTTGTAAGAGACCAAACAGGTAAACAGTACGACATGGTTGAGAGTATAATGGCATGAAGATAGATATTTGAAACAGAAGATGTCAGATTGAACATAAAAGAATGTTTTATTCATCGCATCACGTCTGTTTTCACATATTTATCTTCACTGAACCCTGAAGGATGGCTGTCTGTAATTAATAGTTGAATTAACAACAAAACGTCTGATCTGTGTATTAAGTTTTAGACCGATGCTAATCAGGTTAGCTTTCCTATGGCRTTTTTAATGTTRGGTTAGCATCTATGCTAATTCTTGATCAGCAGTTTAGGGATTGAGATTCTGGCATGTGGGATTGTGTACTCCTTATTTAACAAATGTTCCTGTCCTGTATTTTAGTTTCAGTGTTTTTGATAAGCATACAGACGTTTATTTCTGTGCAAACTTGATCATCGATGCATCCAGGATTGGACACCATTAGACTTGGATCTCAACAGACCTGCAACCGTTTGGTTAAAATCAAAGAAAAGAATGAAGGTGTTGCCTCGACGGAGTCAAAGTCCAGATTTTAATAACCACTGACTGTGAGACAGCTTTGCATAAACAAATACCTGCGAATGTCAATGGCTTAAAGAAATGTTGTAAAGAGGAGTGGGCCAAAATATCTTCACGATGCGAGAAACTGATAAGGGAGTTAAGTGGAAGCATCAGGGCTAAAAATGCTAAGCTAATGACGTTGGGTTTTAGAACTTGCAAAGCAGGAGAAAAACATTACAAGGAGTTATAATTTATTTTAAATACTGTTGAATTGTTCTGTTTCTCACCCAAAGCCTGTCGATTCCTCCGGAGACATTTTCCCAGGTGACAGTAAGAGGAAGTAAGGAGCTCTTCAGCCGGGTGTAGATGCCGTACTGAAATATGTGCTGGTAAGTCTGGTCGTACGGAAGAGAGACTCTGCCAGCACAAAGTAAAGGCAGTGAATAAAAGACCAGTAACTTTCTCATTAATGACAGTAAGTAAAATATTACAGAACCTGGAAGTCACCTTGAAGACCAGAACCGGGTCAGTTCTCCAGGTGATTCCCCCCCTCCGCTCAAACAGTTGATAACCTGAAGACTTGAGGCTAATAATCAACAAAGCCTGAATTTCTGAATTTTTAGTGGGGCAGATTAGGAAATCCCTTGAACATAAGACGATCCGCCCCTTAATGGAGGGAATCTTTGGTTCTGGTTGGTGGAGCTCCGGGGTTTTCGGGAAATTCCCGCCTTTAAAAGTCAGGGAGGTCACGAGCGTCGCTGACCCACCCGCCCCTCCCATGGGCTGCGTGCGTCATCGGGGTCCTGAGAGGTGTTTACTTATCGGATCAAGACATCAAATGATGGTCAGGGTCAGGAGAGTCAAGGCCGAGACCATCATGAGACCATGTTTACCTTTCAAAATAAGAGCATTAAAAGCTTTTATGTCCTGATGCATCTCAGTAATCCAGGTAGAAATATCAAAAAGAAAAAAAAAGTAGGTCCTTCACCTGAAACTCGACTGAAGAAGTCTCTTGGAGGAGAGACGAAATGTTTCACTAAAGAAGAACCCATCCAGAGGACCTACTTATTTTTTCTTTTTGACAAAAAGCTTTTAGTTTTTATCAGGAATGAATGACGTGGTGTCTGTAAAGCGATAATTCAGATGTTTTGAGCTGTGGAAAAGTTGATATTTTATTTTATTTCTTTCTTTTACGTGGGGAAGAAGTAGAGTTTTATTTTGTCTGGACTGTAACGTTGAGGGCTAATTCCCAAACTAAAAAGAAATGCTGCCAATTCATCATCATCATCACTTACATGGTTGTTTTTCTGTTTTTTTGCAATCTAACTTACTGGATATGTTGTGTTACTTCAGCTCAGTCAGTAACCACGACTTCTGTTTTTGTAACTTTGATACTTTTTAAAATGTTTATCTTTATTTACACACTTTTCCCCCATAGAAGTGCATTCATTTCTCTTAATCTCCTTCCAAAACTTTGTTCGTCTCGACATCTGCTCGAGCTTACTCATTCTAATTTGCTCTTTGGCTCTCGGCTAATGTTTTGCTACTTTTAGTTAGCATTCTCATTTTAGCTTTTAGCTAGTGTTCAGCTTCTTTTGGCTTTAACTGGTCAGTTTAAATCAGTTTATTTCATTAAAAAATAAAGTTTAAAACAGTTTAAAGCTTCTTCGGCTCCTTTCAAAATCATTCATCGCTCTAGTTTTAGAAACCGTAACACCCTCAGCTTTGTGTGAAAAAATTTACCCAGAATTCTGAGCTTATTTTCAAATGTAATTAGCAGTAGCGGCTAGCTTAAGCACTTCCAGCCAGAATACTTGTAACGCTAAACTGATGAGTTTATAGAACGTCTTAGCTCCAYTGAGACTAGCCTTTAGCTCGTCAATTAAACCCTTTATTTTCTCCAAATTGTTTCATTAAAAAAGACTTTTTTCATGTTTATTTCAGCTGAACGGACCGGTTCATTAAGACCTGCTCTGACTTCCTGTAACGGATCAGAGTTCGGACCGAACACGAGACCCGACCTGTTGTTCTCCACCAGGATGCCGTCGTCCCGCAGGACCGTCTTCACCTTGTTGATGATGATCTCCACCAGCGTCAGCAGCCCGCCGTCCCCCCGCTGCACGGTGACGTCGCAGTCCACGCGGTTGTGGCTGAAGCGGAGGAAGGTGAACATGCAGGTGGAGCGCACGTAGAAGGGCGAGCCGTCGAAAGGCTGCGTGACGCCGCTGCCGAACGTCCTGCAGGTGTCTGACGGCGAAGACGGGACAGACGTTAGAAACATCGCCGATCAGGCTGAGGTGTGCGAGGGACAGCTGGAGAACAGGACTTACATTTCTGAGAGTCAGGTGTCGCCACAAAATCACCCATTCTGACCACTGGAAGACAAAAAAAGAGTCAGAGGTGAAGGAAGTAATAAAAATATAATCTAGGACAGGGGTGCCCAAACATTTTCCTTGAGAGGGCCAAAATGAAAATCTATCAGGGGCTGCGGGCCAAATGCAGAAATATAATATATGAAATACAAATACTTTTTAATGTAAAGTCCTTTATTTTTAACGATTAAGCTATGCAACGGCCCTCTTTTGTTTTATTCTGTGCACTTGGAGAAAGTCTGCCATACGCTCAAGTAGCAAAGGCTCATGGGACATTTCATAAATTGATAAAATATGAGTTTTGTGGCCTTATAAAGTGTGCAAATCTACATGTGGGGTTAAATCTGATCTAAATATTTCTTGTTGTTGTTTCATGTTTCATGTTTAATCCTAATAAATCAAAGAGAAAGTCAGCACCATGACTGAAAACTACCTTCACTACAGCCCTTTTATATAATCATTTGACCAATGGAAATACGGTGTTTCTACATAGGATAACAGCTTACAACCTTGTAATTGTGGCAACTGTTGGTGGGCCAAATCAAATGGCTTGGCGGGCCAAATTTGGCCCGCGGGCCCCACTTTGGGCTCCTCTGATCTAGGACATTACTGATGAAAAAGAAAAAAATTGTATAGGTCTTCTGGACGGGTTCTTCTCTAATGAAACGTTTCGTTTCTCCTCCAAGAGACTTCTTCAGTCTGAGAGTTTCAGGCAAAATTCAGGCTTTTAAGCCCTGCCTCCATGTGACTGATACTCACATCACATGGCTATCGTTGACACCTAATTAACACCTATTGTTAAAAGGGGGTGGAGTGATACTGGCAATAGCAGCGCTGTAGGAGGGGGACAGCTGAAAACGGAGGCCTCCACCTCTGTTTAATGATGGACGGTCTTTCTTCACAAAAATGGCTTCTTTTACTCCTCTCTCAAACCAACGTTTCTCTCTATCAAGAATGAGAACATCCTCATCTCTGAAAGAGTGACCGCTGGCCTGTAAATGAGTGAAAACTGCAGAGTTCTGGCCATTAGAATTAGCTCGTCTGTGTTGGGACATTCTTTTGAATAGTGGCTGCTTTGTTTCCCCGAWGTATAACTGGTCGCAGTCCTCCTGGCACTTRACAGCATATACAACATTGCTCTGTTTGTGCCGGGGCACCGGATCTTTGGGGTGAACCAGCCTTTGCCGTAATGTGTTTTGGGGTTTGAAAGCTACTGGGACATCATGTTTAGAAAATAAACGTCTCAGTTTCTCCGAAACACCCGCAACATACGGAATAACCACTGGTTTGGGTCTGGGTTTGGGGTCTTCATTTTCACCTGAAGGTTGCATGGAATCCTGTCTGTGTTTCCTGTCTGCTTTCAGGAAAGCCCATCAGTCACATGGAGGCAGTGCTTAAAAGCCTGAATTTTGCCTGAAACTTTCAGACTGAAGAAGTCTCTTGGAGGAGAGACRAAACGTTTCATTAGAGAAGAACCCGTCCAGAAGACCTATACTATTTTTTTCTTTTTGATTTTTTACCTGGATTACTGAGATGCATCAGGACATTACTGATGAAGTTTGAAATATACAGATAAAAAATTGCCTGTATTTAGATATTTGAACTGTGTAAGAAGTGTAGAAAAAGACTGATGAGCTTAATGAGACAATAGTGTTTCAAGGATATGAAAAGATAAAAAAAATAGTCTTTACTTCCAGTTTTCAAGAGATTTTAACCTTAAATGTGCACTTGTTGCATTTCAGGGAGATTCAAAAGAAACAGAAGAAAACATACATTTTGATGCATAATTAAGTTTATCCACCTAGAAGAGTTGTGGGATTAAGAAGAGTTAATTTTCAAAAGATTTAAACTAATTAAGCAGTATAAACACATTTTTTTTTAATTTTAGGGCTGTCAAATGATTAAAATTTTTAATCTAATGATTCCAAGGTAGCTGTGAATTAATCACGATTAATCTTAAACTTAATATAAAACTTTAAATTTTTGACTTCTCATTTACAAACATGACCTGGCATGTACTGAGTGCAAATTAAATTAATTTGCACTCAGTACATGCCACCAGATTATACTATTATTTGCACTCAGTACATATCACCAGATTATACTATTAAATATTAAAAATACAGAAAAAAGTTATAAAATAAGTATTTATTGTATGGATTGCAGCCATTCAATTAATATTAATAAAAAACTGAAATTGTTGTTTGGCAGCTTAAATTTGCAGTATTTCCTCTCAAATGCATAAAAAGAAAATCTCTGCGGTACCTGACACCAGGTAGAAGCAGACAGCCAGCATCCATCGCATYGAGTCCATCATACTGATGCTTCCTCGCTGCAGCAGAGCAGGTGAACCTGGAGGAACTGTTCAGGTGGGTCGCTGCGAGGGGCTTTTATAGGCTGCCTCTGTGCACCTTGACCTGCGCTCTTATGCACGTCTTAAATCAGAAAAAAAAAACTTACCAGAAAACTAAAATATGACAATAAGGCAGAAACAAGGAAATAATTAGTTTTAATGCATAACTCTGATAAATTTGGCTTTGTTTGGCAGGGAAATAAAAGCATTTCCTTTGACTAAACTGATCTGAAAAGAAAGATATTTACACGTATGAGTGGACACAAACGGTTTGGAAAAAATGCAGCATTTGAAGAGTTTGAAACTTAAGTTTAGTGTAATTAGAAAACTACAATCGTGTGGGAAATGCAAAAAGGCTGAAACTGGAGCTGCTCTTTTAAATCTGATTTTATTCTTTCATTCCTTCTAAAGAACACAAAGTGTAAGAATGTTAAGTTCTGTTAAATGCACAATGGAGGATACTAACTTCTGGCAAACACTAACCTCCTCATACAATACCTGGCAGATTAACAAAAGACAAACAGAAATGACAAAGGGATAACAAAGCTTGACCACAGTGCATAAACCAGGATGATCATTTTTTAGTGTTAGTGATGTGGAAAAACTGCACACAATTACTAAAGGAAAGGTTTTCCCCCACTAACAAACAGTCCATAAATATCACAAAAATATTGATAAAAATGTATTTAACTCTTGCTTTGGATTCGTTTTTATTAACCTATGTTTTTCTATATCTTTTTTATTTATATTTTTGTAGATGAAACCTGTTCATACTGTTTGCCATTTGTGTTATAATTATTGCTGCATATGGTGGCTAGTATGATTAAGTAATACAAAATAACAGGATAAGCAGTTTGTTTCTTAATAATGAAATTTGTACAGTCTTAATATGTAGCCAGAATATTTTTTTAGTCTGTCTAAAATATTGATTGTCAATAAGATACGTGGCATTCTGTATTGCTAAAATTTTAATTTTGGTTAAGACTAATCGAATTATAAACATGTAAATTGAAGAATCTATCCTAATTATTATATGATACATCAGCTTGCCATACCCTGCTGCCACTTTTTTTTGCTTCTATTCCTTTCTCTTTTCTCACTGTATTTTATTACAGCCAAAATTTCAATAAAGCTACGCTCGTTCGCGTACATTTATGTTTTTAATCTCATAAAGCAAAATAAATCTAAAATTGTGAATTAAAGAGGCCGTTGAGCCGAGGCTACGCTTTAATCACGACCACTACGAAAACACCTAAGCTCCACGCACTATTTAAATAAAATCGCGATTTACTTAGGAACAAGGTCGGTTGACAAACTTAAACTCGCACAGGTAAAATGCAATATCTTCATGGTTATTTCGGTTATACTTACAACAAAGGAAAAAGTGATAATTCAGTGACAAAGTAAGATTTAACGTGAAAAGCGAGTGAAAACGGCGATCTTTTTACCAACGAGAGGTCCCCACAAAGCAACAAAGACTTATCTGTTCTCCAAGTGAAACGTCGTAGTGTTTTTCTGGATGTTTTATTTTATTTTATTTATTTATTGTAACAAAACTCCTAAAACTCACCCGGGTTTGAGCCCGTTCAACCCGGAAAGGGAACATTGTTATTGCCGCCATTTTTTACTGACGCTCYGTTTACGTTCATCACGTAAAAAACAAAATTGTTACGTTCAAATATCGCGGAAATTTGAACACCTCTGCGTCCTTCATGTTTTTGGCATTATAGTTTTCAGCTAAATAATTGCTAATTAATTTTTATTTTGTTAATTCTTTAAAATGCGACCTTTTGTTCTTAGGAGTAACTTTTGCTACGATTATGTAGCCCTTTGCTAATTTATTCTTTTAGATACATAAAAACAGTCGGGCACAAACATTATGAAATATATTTTTAATTTTTATATAAAACACAATAAACTGGGTTATTTATATTTTAACTTTTTTCACTAGATTTTATTTAGAGAAAAAAATAAAAAGTTTCAGACCCCCATGCTGATAAAAACATTGACCTGTAATACATAACTGGTCCTGTAGGGGGCAGCAGCTTGTAAATTTTGCATGGAGGTATAAATAAAGGGGTTGTTTTTATTCAAGTCTGTGTAATTTTGCCAGTGGAAGCTTGTTTTCTGGTAAATAAAGAAAATATGAAACAAATTATTATTGACATTTTGGTCTTTTTAAGGTGTGTAACTTATATATATATATAATTACTGTACAACTTCACTGTTGTTCATTTAGCATTTATTTGTTAAATTCCTAGCTCAGCCTTCAGCACACACAGAAGTATCGGTCTCACTCAGGCCTGAGCAGCTCAGTGGTCTGTGCACAGATGTAAACCAAACAGGTCATCTACAATTAATTCTCCCCGTCCTCTGAGGTTTAGCCGGCGTTCTGCCATGCAAATTTACATGGTTTGTTTTCGAATGTAATCCCTGTCCTTTTTAAAGTAATCTTTAAAACAGCCATACAATCTTCTGGGGGGATTAGTATTTAT